AAAGCAATATCAGAAAAGATCCCCAAGGAATGTCAGATACAAAAGCATGGGCTTGAAAGAAATAATCAAATTGATCCTAAACCAGAAAAAATATTTCTAAAATTTCGAGTATTTAAGCAGCGGTGCTTACGCCCTTGTCTTGAAGGCTAAAAACGTTAAGAATAATCGCATGGTTGCCCTTAAATTCCTAACATGTACTAACAAAGATGGTTTGAAGGGCATCGAATCTTTGAAAAAAGAATATGAATTGCTTCAGAAATTCAGCTAATCTGATTTTTTGGTAAATGTCTACGATTGCTTCTATCTAATGGAGCAAGAAGTAGAAGAGGATAAAGATGGTAATGAAAAGTCCATCATAACATAAGAGAAGTCCTTTTTTGTGATGGAAATGGAGCTTTGCGAGCGTATTCAAAATATTAATTTTCCTCCATTTTTTGTTGCTCCCAATTTTTTAAAAAATCTGAAAAAGCTAATAAAATAAAATAAGATTATATTTTATTTTTTACATCATTTATGATAATTGAAGTTCCAGCATTTTAAAAAAGTCAAATACATATTTTTTCTAAGTCTTTTTGGATTTGATTAATTTTGAAGTAAAAATAGATTTGCGTTAAGCTAATTTAATTAATTTTATAAAATTATAGAAATTATTTATTTTACAAAATTTTATAATAATTAATTTTTTAAATTCCCTCCAAAAATAAGGCATCTTTAATTTAATTTTTATTGAATTTTAGTAGGTTTCTTAATTAAATGTCCTAGAAGATTAATTAATCGAAATTTTATAATCTTTTAACCCAATATTATAAATTTAATTTTATAACGCATTTTTGAATAATTAAAAAAATTTATGAATAAAGTTTTATATTATTTAAATTAAACAAAATATCTCATCAATTCATTTTTTAAATAATAATTTTATTTTTATCAATAAATTTTATTATTTATTAATTTAATAAAATAATTAAAAATTGAAGAATTATAATTTGTTATTTTTTTAATTTAAATTAATATTTTAAAATAAATTAAATTATTGATTAAAAAATTATATTTTAATGACTAATTAGAATTAATTAATCAAAATTCAATTTATAATTAAATTAGATTTTAAAATTCAATTTCTTAGTAAATTAGATTTATAAAATTAGTCTAAATTAAAAATTTTTAAATAATCAAATAAATAAGAAAATTCATTTATATTTATGTAGTTTTAATTGATTTTAGATTATATAATTTAATTAAAATTAAATTTAAATATTAATTGATAAAAATTTTTTAAATTATTTAATTTAATAAAAATAAATAAATTAAACAGTAAATAAAGTCAACAAAATTAGTTTAAGTTATCTAATTTAATTGATTATTAATTTATAAACATTTTTACATTAAAATACGTTTTTAATTTAATATAAAGCAAATTTTTAAAATATTTTTCTTTAATTTCATAAATATTATTTATTTATTTGTATTTTGTAAATAGAAAATCTTAAACAGCTCTTCGATTATTTAAGAAAGACATAACTACCCTCTAAATAAATAAAGGAAATAATAGCTATTCAAATGCTAGAAGGATTAAATACCCTTCATATTAAAAATATCATGCACAGAGACATCAAGCCTCATAATTTCCTAGTTTGTCCTTCTCAAACTTATGGATTTAATATCAAAATCTGTAAAAAATTTAAATTTTTACAAAATTTATCAATTTAAAAAATTATTGATAATCAAGGTGATTTGGGATTTGCATCTGCAGTAACAAAATCGAAAAGCCATTACCTATCAAAGGTAAACATCGAAATATTATTTAAAGTTAATCTTAAATTATTTTAATCTATAGAAAGGAACTGATTCTTACTTTGCTCCAGAGGTAGAAAAAGGATAATCCAGAATTCAGGTTTTTAAACAAAACTAATCTTTAATTTTTTAATTTAATTTTAATTTATTAAGTCTGACCTCTTTTCTCTAGGACTAATTTTACTTGAGTTAGATAATCTGAATGTGCTATATGAAAATTGGATTGACTTTGATATAAAAGGAGAGATTTATTAAGGAAAAGGAATAGCTTCGAAATATTAGATTGATAGAAATTCTAATATCTATAAAATAGCCGAGATTTGCTTAAAACCAAAATATTTAGAAAGGACAACTTCAGGAAACCTACTTTCTGAGCTTATTAAGCTTCATGGAGAACCACTGAAATTCACACTTGCATCTATGATATTAGAAGTAATAAATGCATTTACCAATTTTTTTCTGGCTAATCTAATTAACTAACTACTTCATTAAAAATATTTAATTTAATTTTAAACTTTGCTTCTTGATAATAAAAGTCAATTTAATAAAATATTTGGTCTTAATTTTTTATTACTTCAATTTGAAAATTTGATGATTGATTTCTCAATTTTTTTAATTTTAAATTCTTGAATATACATAATAAAATTTCAAAATATTTCATGAAAAGAAATATTTTTTTCAAGGAACAACACTGATAATGATATAAATTTTGATGAATTTAAATAAAATATAAACAAATTCTACATATTAAAAGAAATCTTATTCATTTCTATAATTTTATTATTAAAATCAAAATTAATGATTGATTCTATCCAAATTTCTTATTTTATTAAGTTAAAAAATATTTATTAAGATTATTTAAAATTTTTTTGCACTTACTAAAAAAATTAAATGATTTCTAATAGACTACAAACATTAATTATTATTTTTTTATTGATAGGAATAAATTCCGTAGTAAGCATAATAAATATTCAATAGAATTAATGAGCTTCAAAAAAATAAAGTAAAAATATAATAATATTTTTTTTACATTCCAAATTGTTAATTTTATGATTTTAACAACAACTTTTTTTCTAAGCAAACTTAGTTTGAGAAAGATGCATAGATCTTGCTTGATAACACAGATTCAAAAATAAAGAGAAAAGATACTAATAAACAATTTACAAAAGTAGAAATACTATCCAAGCTATTAAAAAGTCTATATGAAGATAAGAAATATGTAAATAATTTCCAAATTCTTAATTTTGGAAGCTTTGGTATGGTATTATCTACTAAAAAAGTTGACAAAGAAATAGTATTAAAAATACAAAAGATTGTTGATGAACAAGAAATTTAAAATGAAATTAGAATAATGTAATAATTAAAAACACCTTTAGTTGTCTAGCTATATGACAATTATGTCATAGAAAAAGCTACAGCACCTGAAAAGTATGTAGTTTTCGAATTAGAAAAGTGTTCATGTAAATTTTTATATAAAAATTTATAAATTTGCAAATATTTTAATTTTTTATTCAATTAAATGTAAATTTTAAATATACAACTTAAAGTATTTTATTGGCATATTAGCCTAAGATAGCCAGTAATAAGCTATGCATTTATTATTGAGGTTATAATATGTATAATAAGTTTATAATTTCATTTATTGTAAAAAAGGTTCACTTTAGGAATATCTAGAAAGTTAAGGAAAAGAAGGAGAGTTTAGTAATGAAGAAAAATTGAATATTGCAATCCAAATAATTGACTCTGTCAATTATATTCATTGCTTCAATATTATTCATAGAGATATTAAACCTGACAATTTTTTGGTATGTTTGGATGGCAATCAACTTGAAATCAAACTGTGTAATTAACCCTAATATATTTTTTTTTATTTTTAAAAACAATTCAATTATTTTAATATAAGGCGATTTTGGATTATCAGCTTAACTTGAAAAAAATTGTGAATAGATTGAAATTTTAGAAGTAAATTATTTATTTAATATAAAATTATCAAGAAATTTTAATATATTTTATTTAGATGGTAGGAAATTGGGCGTACATGGCACCTGAAATTTTAACTAAAGAAGATCACTAAAATAAGATATACTCTAAAAAAGTAATTATTGTTATAACAACTTCTTAATAAATTCAATAAATTTTTGTTTTAAGTCGGATTCTTATTCAGTTGGTTTACTATTATCTTTGCTTGACAATTACTTCATTTTGAAAGAAAATACAGGATCTACTTTCATGATGATGACTTTAAATTAATATGATGAGTCTTTCAAACAAATAAATATTAAGCGAAACACTGAAATATTTAAATTTATTCAACTATTAGTTGTCTGGGAAAGAGTCAACAGAGCTTCTCTTTCTATTATTGTTGAATAAAATTCAAAAAAATTCAAATCAAACTAAAATGATATGAAATAAATTATATCATAGCATTATTTAGGTCCTCTATAAAATGTTGAGGCTGTAAACATAGGATCCGTAGGGAAATTACTTTCTTAAAATAAGATTCCAATTTAAGACACCAAATAAATAAAGATAGATAGTATGAATGATTTGTATAAAATTACAGAATTTCAAGTTATCGAAATAGATTTACCGTAATTACATTAAAATGAATTTAAATTGAAATTAAATATCCACAAATTATCATTTAAAAATTCAAATACAAGATTTAATTAACATTTAATATTTTTGATAGAAATTATGAATGATTTGATATTTAGTCATTTATGATGGATACATTCTTTATATAAAAAGTTAAAAAAATTTTAAATTAAAGATAAAATTATTATCTATTAATACAATCTACAATAAGGAAATAAACTTTATTATGTAGTTAATAATAAAATCTATTGGGGTGGTAAGGAAAATTTACAAAAATATCTAAAATTCAAAAAAATTGCAAAAGTTAAAAATTGGTATAAAATTTTGATAAATTTATAAAATGTTGCCCACTAATTAAAAATAAAAAAAACTTGGTAAGAAAAACTTATTTTTAGAAGTGGCATATCAAAATTACCTAAGTGATGATTGTGTGTATGTCATTTACTAACTTGCTTGCTTATTTATTAACTTACTTGCTAAATAAAATATAACGAATTTCTTTCCTTACTCATCAAAACACAACTAAAATACTAAAGAAAGCCATAGTTTTTTACCATCCTTTCTCCTCCATATTTATTTAATTCGTTATTTATTCTTATATTTCAAGTGAAAATAATATTGGTGCAGAGGGTGCAAAAGATTTAGGCAAAGAAATAGCCTTGTGCAAGAATATCATAACTTTGACGCTAAATTTAGAGTAAAAATTTAATTTATTGATTGATAAACTAATAATAGATAATTTTAAGCTTTTGACTTAGTTATTAGCTAATTAAGCCAGGTTTTCATTTACTAAATTGCTTGCTAATTTATTTATTTATTTACTTATTAACCAAATAAAATATAACTTATTTCTTTATTTACTCATCACAATATAACTAAAATACTAACGAAAGCCATAGTTTTTTACCATCCTTTCACCTCCATATTTATTTAATTTGTTATTTATTCGTATATTTCAAGCGGGAATAAAATTGGTGAAGTGGGTGCAAAAGATTTAGGCACAGGAATAGCCTAGTGTAAGAACATCACAACTTTGATTCTAAATATACGGTAATAATTTAATTTATTGATTGATAAACTAATAATTGATTATTTTAAGCTTTTGACTTAGTTATTAGCTAATTAAACCAGTTTTTCATTTACTAACTTGCTTGATTATTTATTTATTTATTAACCAAATAAAATATAACTTATTTCTTTATTTACTCATCACAATACAACTAAAATACCTATGAAAGCTATAGTTTTTTACAATCCTTTCTTTTATATTTATTTATTTCTTTATTTATTCATATATTTCAAGTTGGAATAATATTGGTGCTGAGGGTGCAAAAGATTTAAGTATAGGAATAACCTAGTGCAAGAATATCACAACTTTAATGCTAAATTTAGTGTAAAAATTTAATTTATTTATTCATAAACTAATAATTGATTATTTTAAGCTATAGAATTAGTTATTAGTTAATTAACCCAATTTGTCATTTACTAATTTGCTTTTATTTATTTACTTACTTATTTACTTACTTACTAACCAAATAAAATATAAATAATTTCTTTACTTACTCATCACAATACAACTAAAATACTAATGAAAGTCATAGTTTTTTACCATCCTTTTTCGTCCATATTTATTTAATTAATTATTTATTCTTATATTTCAAGTGATAATAATATTGGTGCAGAGGGTGCAAAAGATTTAGGCACAGGAATAGCCTATTGCAAGAATATCACAACTTTGACTCTAAATTTAGAGTAAAAATTTAATTTATTAATTGATAAACTAATAATTGATTATTTTAAGCTTTTGACTTAGTTATTAGCTAATTAAGCCAGCTTGTCATTTACTAAATTGTTTATTTATTTATTTATTTACTTACTAACCAAATTAAAAATAAATTTCTTTACTTACTGATCACATATATTTCAAGTGGGAATAAAATTGGTGAAGAGGGTACAAAATATTTAAGCACAGGAATAACCTAGTGCAAGAATATCACAACTTTGACACTAAATTTAGAGTAAAAATATAATTTATTGAGATAAACTTATTATTGATTATTTTAAGCTTTAGACTTAGTTATTAGCTAATTAAGCCTGTTTGTCATTTAATAACTTGCTTGATTATTTATTTATTTACTTACTTACTAACCAAATAAAATATAATAAATTTCTTTACTTACTCATCGCAACACAACTAAAATACTAACGAAATCCATAGTTTTTACCATCCTTTCTCTTCCATATTTATTTAATTCTTTATTTTTTCTTATGTTTCAAGTGGGAATAAAATTTGTGATGTGGGTACAAAAGATTTAGGCACAGGAATAGCCAATTGCAAGAATATCACAATTTTGACACTAAATTTAGAGTAAAAATTAAATTTATTGATTGATAAACTTATAATTTATTATTTTAAGCTTTTGACTTCGTTATTAGCTAATTAAGCTAGCTTGTCATTTACTAACTTGCTTATTTATTTATTTATTTATTTACTTACTAACCAAATAAAATATTACTAATTTCTTTACTTACTCATCACAACACAACTAAAATACTAACGAAAGCCATAGTTTTTTACCATCCTTTCTCCTTCATATTTATTTAATTAGTTATTTATTCGAATATTTCAAGTTGGAATAAAATTGGTGCATAGGGTGCAAAAGATTTAGGCACAGGAATAGCCTAGTGCAAGAATATCACAACTTTGATTCTAAATATACGGTAAAAAATTAATTTATTGATTAGTAAACTAATAATTGGTTACTTTAAGCTTTTGAATTAGTTGTTAGCTAATTAAGCCAGCTTGTCATTTATTAACCTACTTATTTATTTACTTACTGACTAATTAAAGGAAATATAACAGATTTCTTTACTTACTCATCACAACACAACTAAAATACTAACGAAATCCATAGTTTTTTACCATCCTTTCTCCTCCATATTTATTTAATTCATTATTTATTTGTTTATTTCAAGTGGGAATAAAATTGGTGACGAAGGTTCAAAAGATTTAGGCAAAGGAATAGCCTAGTGCAAGAATATCACAACTTTGACTCTAAATTTAGAGTAAAAATTTAATTTATTGATTGATAAACTAATAATTGATTATTTTAAGCTTTTGAGTAAGTTATTAGCTTAATAAGCCAGCTTGTCATTTACTAACTTGCTTGCTTGCTTATTTATTTATTTATTTATTTATTTTTTTATTTATTTATTTATTTACTTACTTACTTACTAATTAAATAAAATATAACGAATTTCTATACTTACTAATTTCAACACAACTAAAATACTAACGAAAGCCATAATTTTTTACCATCCTTTCTCATCCATATTTATTATTTAATTGAATATTTCAAGTGGGAATAAAATTGGTGAAGAGGGTGCAAAAGATTTAGGCACAGGAATAGCCTAGTGCAAGAATATCACAACTTTGACACTAAATTTAGAGTAAAAATTTAATTTTTTGATTGATAAACTAATAAATAATTAATTATTTTAATCTTTTGGCTTAGTTGTTAGCAAATTAAGCTAGCTTGTCATTTACTAGCTTGCTTGCTTAATTATTTATTTACTAATTAAATAAAATATAACAAATTTCTTTACTTACTAATCACAACGCAACTAAAATACTAACGAAAGCCATTGTTTTTTTACCATCCTTTCTCCTCCATATTTATTTAATTAGTTATTTATTCTTATATTTCAAGTGGGAATAAAATTGGTGATTAGGGTTCAAGATATTCAGGCAAAGGAATAGCCTAGTGCAAAAATATCACAACTTTGAAGCTAAATTTAGTGTAAAAATTTAATTTATTGATTGATAAACGAATAAGTGATTATTTTAAGCTTTTGAAGCTTGTCAATAACTAACTTGCTTGGTTACTTATTTATTTACTTACTAACCAAATAAAATATAACAAATTTTTTTACTAACTCATTATAACACAACTAAAATAGTAACGAAACCTATTGTATTTGACCATCCTTTCTCCTCCATATTTATTTAATTCGTTATTTATTCTTATATTTCAAGTGAAAATAATATTGGTGATGAGGGTGCAAAAGATTTAGGCACAGGAATAGCCTAGTGCAAGAATATTACAACTTTGATGCTAAATTTAGTGTAAAAATTTAATTTATTGATTGATAAACTAATAATTTGGGGGGGGGGATGGGTTTGTACAAACCACTAATATCCATACTTTAAAACTTTATATTAAGTGAGTTAATTTATTTTATTATAAGAGCAAAAATTAGACAAAAATTATAAATTTATATTAATCAAAATTAAATATTTTTAAAATAATATTATTTAAATAGTTCAAATAATTTATATGCTTAATCAATCTAAGGTCTTTTTTCTAAGCTAAAAAATTGTCTCAATCTCAAATCTTTAAAGACTAATTTAAGGTTAAACATAGTTCTTCAAATGAATTTTTTTTCCGCAATTTTTAATGGGATAACTCTAAATTTATTTTTTAAAATATAAAGTGGAAACAAAATAAGTAATTAAGGGGCTATTGAGTTAGGAAGCTGCTTATCTAATTGTCATAATCTTGAAAACTTAGTGATTATACTGAAGTAAAAATATAAATTATTTATTTTTAAATATTTGTATCTATTTTACAATTACTTATATTTAAAAATAATTAAAATAAA